AGAGAGAGAGAGCGACCTGCGCCACCTCCGCCCGACCTCCGCTCGGCCTCTGCCCACTTCCCGTTCCGCCTCCGCACACCTCTTCCCGCCTTCGCCCACCTCCGCCCACCTCCCCTCCGTCTCCGCCCACCTCCCCTCCGTCTCCGCCCACCTCTCGTCGGCCTTTGCCTTCTCTTCTCTCTCTTTCCTCCCCAGGCTCCGCCACTTCTCCTCCACCTCCGCTACTTCGCCTCCTCCCGCCATCTCCTCTCTGCCTCCGCCCACTTCTCCTCCACCTTCGCTCACCTCCTCTCTGGCCTCCATTCCGCTGTCCGCACATCCGCCATCCCTCTGCCCGCCTTTAAAGAATAAATAAAAACTGTGCACGCCCACCTCCCCTCGGCCAGCGCCGACCTTCTGTTCGCCTCCGCCCACCTCCCTCCCGCCATTGGGATCGCCAATCTCCCTTCACCCTTTGCCCACCTCCCGTCCGCCTCCTCCCTCCATCTCTTCTCCACCTCCGGTCCGCCTCCGCCGGCTATCTCCTCCCGGCATATCCTCTCCGCCTCCACCACCTCCCGTCCGCCTCCTCCCCCATCTCCTCTCCGCCTCCGCCCACTTTTCCTCCACCTTCGTTCACCTTCGCGCTGGCCTCCGTTCCGCTGCCCGCTCATCCGCCATCCCTCTGCTCGCCTTCAAAAAGAAAAACAGAAAAAAACGGTGCGTGCCCACCTCGCCTCGGCCAGCGCCGACGTTCTGTCCGCCTTCGCCCACCTCCCTCCCGCCATTGGGATCGCCAATCTCCCCTCAGCCTCCGCCCACCTCCCATCCGCCTCCTCCCGGCATGTCCTCTCTCTCTTTCCTCTCCGCCTCTGCCACCAACACCTCCGCTCACCTCTGCTCTGGGCTCCATTCCTCTGCCTGCACATTCGCCATCTTGCTGGACATCCCGTTGCCTACCTCCCCTCGCCCTCCGACGACCTCCTCTCCACCTCCGACGACCTTCTGTCAGCCTCCTCCCACCTCCCTTTCGCCATTGGGATCTCACATCTCCCCTTGCCCTCCGCGCACCTCGCGTCCGCCTCCTCCCGCCATCCGCTGCACATCCCGCTGTGCGCGCCAACATCCCCTCGGCCTCCGCCGACCTCCTGTCCGCCTCTGCCCGCCTCTCCTCCGCCCGCTACCTCCGCCCACATTCTCTCTGCGCGGAAAAGACGATTCCTTGGAGAGAGAGAGAGAGAGAGAGAGAGAGAGAGAGAGAGAGAGAGAGAGAGAGAGAGAGAGAGTGATTTGTTTTCTTTTTTATTTCTTTGTTTCCCCTCCATAAATTGAGAGAGAGAGAGAGAGAGAGAGAGAGAGAGAGAGAGAGAGAGAGAGAGAGAGAGAGAGAGAGAGAGAGAGAGAGAGAGAGATCTGTTTTCGTTTTTTTCTTTTTTGTTCCCTCTAGAGGACCGTAGGTTGAACAGTTCAGTATCAGGGAACCCAGAAGAGTGCAGCATCCTCCTTCTCCTCCTCCTCCCCATTCCTCCTCCTCCTCCTCCCTCCCTATTCCTCCTCCTCCTACTCCCTCGTCATCCTCATCCATAATTGTCCTCATTCTCCTCCGTCGTCCTCCTCCATCCTCGTTCTCATTCTCCTCCTCCTCCTCCTCCTCCTCCTCCTCCTCCTCCTCCTCCTCCTCATCGTCCATTATCCCCCTCCTCCGAATCATCATCATCGATATGGGGTTTGATGGGATCATCGTCCTTCTAATTGTCCTCATGATGATCAACGTCGTCGTCACCATGGCCGCATCAACGTCGGCACTATTGCTTCCATCGTGCTCCATGCTGTCCCCGCTCGCCGTCGCCGGCAGCATGGCCATCGTCATCGTCGTTATGCCATGAACCGTTTTCGTTATTGCGTTGGCAATTCCACTGTTTTTTCTTTGCAATAGCAACTAGCCGTTGGGAGGTTGTGAGGTTTTGAGTCTTATTGACGGGAACTCGTACTATAGTTTCGTGATGCATCCGGACGATCTGCCTCCTTCTGGTGTTTAGTAAATCGCTTGAGGTGCTAGCAAGCTGCCTGCCACCGATGTCGGTGATGGGTGGGCCTATAACCGAAGGGGAGATAAAAGTGATGGCCGAGCGTGGAGGGGGACCAAGTTGGAGGTAAGACGGGGCGAAGAGATGACAAAACAGGAGCAGCAACGATGGGGATCTCTTGTTGGTATGCTTGTACAAGCTGCGTGCCACCGATGTCGGTGATGGGTGGGCCTATATGAGCGAAGAAATGACCGTCAGGGAGAGAACAAATGATGAACGAGCGTGTAATCCTAGGGGAGTGAAGTGAGGGGTCGACGGGGGGAAAGAGATTACAAAAATGCAGGAGGAACGATGATGATCTCTTGTTCGTATGCTTATACAGCTCCGGAGGGAGGGAGTCACACTGTTTCCCCCTGCGGCTACCTTTGGGATAGATGGCAGCTGTAGCTATGACTGTACAGCTGTAATAGCTGTGGGAAAATGGGAGGTTTGACTATGGGGTGTATGTAGCTATAGGTAGGGGCTGTGGCAGTGTTTGTGAGAGACTCCTTACAGCTACAATGGCTTTAGTAAGAGAGACTTTCGCAATGATTATATCCTGTTTGAGTCACCATATGTACAGCGATTTTGCCCAGGTCACCAGCTGCCAGAGCTATAAAGCCCGCACGTATCGTTTTTTTTTATTTATATAGTTAGGATTGGGGTCGGAAAAGAAACTAGAAATATAAATGTAAATATGGTTTTGTTTCCCATTTGTTTGAAGCGGAGAATGGAAATGGGACCCTATTTAGTACAACTACTTCAGCTATAGCACACTGTAGCTGTGATTGTAGCGCTAGGTGCAACTTCGTCATCCTTTGAAAGTCTAAAGTGGTATCCTAAGGGCACACTAAACTAGGCCGTCAAAATCGCAATATCCCAAAATGAGCAGCCAGATCTAGTCCTTTTTTTTTTTTTTTTTTTTTTTTTTTTAGCCAGATCTAGTCCTGCCTTTACAAGGACTCCATCTGGCCGCTCATTTTGTGATTTTGCGAGTTTGAGGGCCTAGTGTGAGTATGTTGCAATTTAGTATACCTACTCGGCTGTAGCAGAATGTAGCTATGGCTGTAGGGTTAGGTGCCATTTTTAGTCTTTTAATGGCCTTACAAACAAAATGGATCCTCATTTAGTACAGCTACTATCACGTATAGAGCAGTGATAGTTGTTGTCTTAGCTCTCACTTTAGCCACAGGTGTGGCCGACTATAGCAATGAACAAGATGCGCGGCTGAAGGGGTTAAACGTGCTGAAGGTTGGGCCAACAGGCGCATGGGCGATGGTCACGTCCGCTCACGTCCCACTACAGTACCATCTTCCAACGCATGGTCACGGCATTTCCCAATGTTTGCATGGAACAGTTGTTTCCTTCATTGGTTCCCTAATTCCTTTCTTTTCTGTTTATTCGAGTCTCAGTTCAAGACCTGAGGTAGACTTTTTTTTTGGTTTCAAATTTGGACCATGTCTCGATTTAAGTGTGTCATTCCTTGCGCAGTAGCCATTCTAATCTTCTCTGTGTCGTTCCAATTTTAACGGACGTACCGAAGGACAAATCTGGAGTGGACTTGATCAGCTGCACAGAGCCAATGTTGTCGATCCCATTCCTCAGGTCCCTGCCTACCTACCAGCTTGTGAAACCATGGCCAAGGGAGCAGACTTTGAAGCATCAGCAGGGAAACCCGACTCTACCGTCTTCACCTGAATAGAATGCCCGGTCATTATAGCCGAATTTGGGGCGACTTCCAGTCCACATGCACCAATGGTTACCAGGCGTTCTCGTCGGGTGGAGACGGTAGTTTTGCTTTATCCATCGTTATTGAGCTAGCGAGTGTTAAAGGCAACATAACATGGCTGACATCAAACCCTAAGCGCTTATTGGGGTTGTGATATAGGAGGATAGGGCCTTTCTACTACCTGTTCTTCACCATCCTTCGCCCAAAGCCCTCCCATATAAAAACCCTCTCGAAAAACCCACGAAAATCCATGGGTTGTCAAGGTGTGGTTTACATCCACCAATTAAGTTGGTCAACAATGGCTTATGATGACCCAATTACTGCCGTGCAAGACATTTGTATACAAGATCGTCTTGGTGAAGGTGGAGTTCTCTCTCTCTCTCTCTCTCTCGTCCTCAAGTGCAAAATGAACTCAGTGATTGGTTTGGTGGTGTGTGCGGGTTGAAATTAGTTGCTGTTTGTTTGTGGATTGAGTGGAAAGAACAAATTTTTGAGACCTGTTCCTCTTTTCGTCTTGTTTTTATTTTTATTTTCTGGTGGTTGTTCGTGTGGTTGTATCTCGTTGAAGTTGAACCAGGGCTCTTCTGAAACCTCCGAACATGTTGTTTCGTCGAAACTGATGCGCATGCAGTCAGGCCACTATGATTATCTGGTTATAATGCTTTCTGCTCACATATTTGCTGAACTTGTCCTGTGTGGTTCAACTCCCAGTTGATTTGGAGGGGCGGAGACAATCTTATCGAGCAAGAGAACGGGAGGGTCTCACTGTGTTGGGAGCGCTGAAAGATTGTGGTGTTGAGACTGGTTGCCATTGTAAACTGCATGATAGGGGTATGTCTCCCTCACTGCCCCTCTCAGCCTTCCTCTCTCTCTCTCTCTCTCTCTCTGTTTCTGCTTTGCCTTGTGTGTCTGCCTGTCTCTGAGTGCCCCTGGTTTGTCTTAACCTCTGTGTTGTGTTTGGCTCCCCTAGCAGAGAACAACCCAACCCTTATGAGCTGATGTGTGCTTTCACTGCTTTGTTTTGCAAAAGAGAGACGTGCTGCTTGTCTGTGCATGCATGTCTGTTGGATACAATAAAGTTAGGGGCCAGCCTATTTGAGAAAAAGGGGTAAAAGGAGAGGAGGAATATGCTTTAGAGTTGAAGATACAGACTGTTGGGTGCAAACCGGGAAGTTGCTGGATGGTGACAGGGAGAGGAGACAAGACGGAGAAATGAAGTAACCAGCAGGCAAGGTGAATGTTCGGCTGTATGCATGAGTTTTTTACCGTTTTTGTATGTCAGGGGCCTTAGGGTTATCGGCGAGATTCTTGGCTCTGAGAGCGACGGCATTCTGGAGGTGCCCCCCCCCCCAAAAAAAAAAAGACGCATTCTGGAGGTGCCTAGTCTTCTTGGTTCTCGGACGGAGTGCTGCAGACGTCTTTGTGGTGATTCTTCTGAAGCGTTCCAATATTGAGTAGGATGGAAACTCGTACAGCAAACGGAAGTAGCCACGCAGTCAGTTGGCCACCAACTGAGAAAGCGGGTAGTACTAACACTGCATGGTGGCCGTATGAAGTGACCATCTGTACGAACTTCACAATATGGCACACGGTTATCAAGTGTGCAGGAGTTGATGGTTGCGCATGATGATCGGATTGTTGGTGTTATTATTTACTATTGTTCCTTTTTTTTGTTCTCACGCTGCAGGGCTGGAGGTTTGCATGGGGAACTGCCATGTGGAGATTGCTGACGAGTGGCTGGCGAAGTTCCCCCCACGGAGTAAAGACGAATTGAATGTCCTTGTGGATCATGCTCCTGGTCAAATCACGAGGCAGTAAGTTTTCATGAATTCTGTGCTCCCTATGGAACATCCTGCCCATGGAAGTGCCTTTTCTGCTGATGTGTAAACCTCACTCTATATATATTATATACGGTTTGCCTCGTTGTTTCTCGAGTTACTATCCGGTCACTGCGGATCCTCCTACTGTGTTTAACACCTCGTTGTTTCTCGTCTTTTCAACACTCGGGTCGATGTCCCTCCCTGCCTGCTACTGCGGATCCTCCTACTGTGTTCTTCACCTGTTCATCTTTTGGTGTATAGCTTTGTGTTTCTAACATGTTGGGCAGCACGTGGTAGTGATATTGCCTTTGCCCATGGTGGCTTTCGTATGGATAGAGTGTTCAAGTGTAGCATACGAAATGTTCTATTCTTCTGTATGTTACGGCATACTCGCACGAGTACTTTCCGACATGTATCGGGCCGCAATTACGGGATGAATCCGACCGCAATAATGTCCAGAGCTTAGTGGATAAAGTCCTAGTGTGAGCATGCACTTAGGAGTGCAGGATGCAGCGTTTCCATTGTTGTGGATTTTATACTATTTATATAATTTTATAGTCCGCAATTGATAATGAAGCCCTGATGGAGAATAGGTGGAAAGCCATGTGTGGTTTGACCTCTGACCCGGTAAGTCCATGCTTGGGTTTGCACGTTCTACAACATTGCTGCTCTGATGTCATGAGCAGAAACCCGAACCCATAACTTCTTTCTCTATAGCACATGGACGCAGGAGAAGCATATAAGCTTTGGTGAAGCCTTCACATGAATTCATGGTTTTCTATCTCCTGGCTGAGACGAGCTGATATTCTGGACTGGTCAGTATAAACTGGTCCGTGGTCCATCAGACCACACGATTTTAAATGAACTCCTCTGTGGGAGTTGAAGAAGAATATCTGTCCTCTACAAAGAAATCGAGGAATCTGATCTGTAGAGAAGGTGTACTCCCCTTCTAATTTTCTTCCAGCGGGGGCGACCTCCATAAGGACACTGGAGGAAGCCAAGCGGCTTTCCTGCCTGAATTCTGACCCCAGCCAAAATGCGCTGGGGGCGACCGGCAGCCAATCGGGACAGCCGACTGCCCGGTCCAACCGGGAGGCTCCCGGTCGGGGGAGGGGTCCTCGGTCCATCCGGGGACCAGCACTGGTTTGTGGAATACGTGAAAGTGGTGGTCGACTGTTTGCAGAAGCCTCTTTGTCTCGCTCAAGGTAGTAGATAAATTAGCAGAGGGTTTTTGAATCACGAAGTCCGTGTTTGAATTTTCTCGAAAGCCTCACCCTTACCAATGGCCCCACTTATGGGTGGATTACTGGCAAAAACTTTGGGCCGATCAACTGCTCGAACTGCCTGTTGTGTGTCTTGTGTCACCAGTGACAAAGCAGTCCGCAGGTTTGCCTCAGTGCTCACTTCTGAGTACAAGCACCAAATTAGGCAATTAGACTAGATTCTGAGTGTTTACTGTCATTCTGTGTCTAAAATTCTCTAAATGCTTTTTGAGAACATGCGTGGCCTTTGGATAAGCCATGGAAGGTGCAGATCTGAGCTCCCAGGTGGACGTTGGTACTCTCTCAGAAGTGTTGTGACTCAGTGGGTATGTTGTGCAATTTCTCAGTACTACTTTTCCAAACCTATAGCGCCGGCCTTTTTTTGCAGAGTTGGATTCCCCATGGACGTAAAGAAAAAGCCACAGACCACCAGGATTTTTTTTTTTCCCTTTCCCTGGTGCCGCCAGCCGTTTTGGTCTGGTAGCACTGTTCATCTAAAAAAACCGCTGTGTTATATATGTCCAGTTCTCGAAATTGGCCTGGGAAAGGTACCAAGGAAACTGCTGTGTTGCATTTCCTTTCCCGAATTAGACTAGATGCGTTAGTTGTGGCATGACTGATAGAAAAGTATATATTGCGACTCTCCTGAGGCGCAGTGTCAGTATTTAGGATGCTGGTCCTTATGCAGAGGCGAGTGCGCAGATTCTTTGTGCTCCCTCCTACCGGCTTCTTCTGCATCGTGAGAGTTTCTGAATCCCAACTGAAGTACTCAAAGCTGTCTTGACTCTGAATCTGTCGTAATCGTTTTACGACCATGCTTGCGAGCACATGCTGTGTATGCATTTGCATGCGTGCGGCACCCTACCTGGGGTCGACAACGAATCAAGCATAAGTACTTCCCAGAGAATCAAACTTGGCTTGGTTTTCACGGTAAGAAATACCAAGACAATTGGGTTTTGTATGACTCTTACATGTCCAAGGCCACGAAGTGGCAGCGGCGCCAGACTCTTCTATGTAAGATATGCTGATGATTTTGTTATTATCATAACAGCAGATGCTGTCGAGATCAAAAGGTTGGTCACTCAATTCTTATCTGAAGAGCTTAAACTGGAGCTTACTCAGCAGGTGCAAAGCACAGCGTCAGTAGAGACCCAGAAAGCTGCCTTCGCTTTTGGTGTTCCTTCTAATATCTGTGAATTTTATCTCTATATTAGAAATTCCACTTTCCTCTATCTTACTCCAGTGAACCGGTTTTGAAGGCATTCCACCAGTTGAGCTGGCGACTTTCACCGCTCCGCGCCTGATTCACCGCTTACGTGCCCTTTACGCCTGGAGATTGGATTCTGATTCAATCCGATGAATTGCAATAACCTAAGCGCCGACAGCCCGAAGTGCAATAGAAGAGTTTCTTGATGTTACAATGATTTACAATTTCCAGTATGTTCGAGTACTGGCTGATCAGATTCCAAGCGAAGAGTTCATACTCTTAGAGGTAATTAGCACGCAACTAACAGAGCCTGGTTGTACTTGCAGCAATGGAGGTGTAAGATCGAAGAGCAGTGGGAGGGAAGCCCCGATGCTGCCCCCCCCCCCCCCCCCCCCCCCCCCCCCCCCCCTTCCTCAAGCTGTGAAGTTCTTTCTTACCATTGGGCAACGTGCTGGGAACCCCTACATTCGTGGTTGTCTGAATTCTTTCACTCCAAGAATTAGAAAAACTGTTGAAATAGAGACCTGAGTTCAAATCCTTGTGGAACTAGTTGAAAGAGTTTCTTGACTTACCTGGGGCCGGTCGGTTCCATGATAATACCTCAAGGCCATTGCCTTTGTTTTATTTTTATTTTAAGGAACATCCTCTGCATGGACTGTGCTTGCACACAGAGTGATGATGTGGATTGTGCTCTGCTTCGTGGTGCTTTGGGTGTCTTGTGTCGTTTTCCAGCTCGAGATTAAGCTGCCTTTTACCGCTAACCAAGGAGCACGACGGGATTGTAAGTCTGCTTGCATTTCCAAGCCCTTAGTGTATCTGTCCTTTTCCTGACCCTCGGAACATTTTTTTTTTACCCTTCAACTATTTATGCACTCGTTTTTATACGAAGTGGATAACCCCTAGCTTTATTGTCTTCATCGGATTTCATCAGGACTCGAACTCTTTGTTTTGTTTATTGACAGTTACACGTGTGGCTTTCCTTTCCTGACCCCCATAATGTTCTCTTCTGATGCGAACGTGCCCTGGGTAGGGGCTTACCTGCATGGTGCACTGTATGGCGCACCCATTGCCTGTGTGTTGTACAGACCTGTACAGATACGAGACCCACATAAGTGAGCGGTTGATTACGGTGGGGGTCATGCGCTACTTGGAGCGAAACGTGTGAGCATTGCTAGCATCTGTGTGATGTTGTGTGTGGTGCGGGTTGCATGTGGATACTACAGCCTTGCAGGGGTCTGGTGGATATCGTGACCGGTATGGTTCCACTTTTACCACTGTGCCCTCGCTGTAGTGGTTAAGATACTTGGTTCTTGAGGCCGAAGTTGCCGGTTCAAATCTGTGCCTGCACGGAGGAGGGCCTATGCCCAGAGGTACGGATCCCTAACTACTGTATGGGATGCCTTAGGGTATGGCATATCACATCCTAAATGGTGCGGTAGGGGGGCTGTATGCTGTGCGGGCTGTGAGGGACAGTGTGAGGGAGGTGAGGAGCATACAACATGCCACACGATGTGTTCTTGAGTGCTGGAGGGGTTGCCAGAAATTCAGAACGGCACGTTGGGAGCTCAGATTTTCGCAACTTTACACTTTTCATTGTTTTCACAGTCCAAGAGAACTAAAACTTGGAAACATGAGCGACTGATGTGCGCTGATGATGTGGGGGGAAAGGTTGCAACGTTGAGAGATGGTCAGAAAAGAGCATGGAGAATTTGCAATGAGGGGGGTGGGTGAGGGGGTGGAGGCAGAGATCGTTATGTGGAGGGCACAGAGGGAGAGGTTCCTACAGGGGTCAGGGTGGTTGAATGGCCGCCATGTCCGTCCGTGAATGTGTCTGTGTTTGTCTCTTGTGCTCTCTCTGCCTCTTCCTGGTTTCAGGTAGGGGGGATGTAGGGGGGATGATGTTTCAAGGTTTTCCAGGTGGGAAGGGGGGGAGAGAGAGAGAGAGAGAGAGAGAGAGAGAGAGAGAGAGAGAGAGAGAGAGAGAGAGAGAGAGAGAGAGAGAG